GTTGTACCACCTTCATGGCATATTTGCCCAGCATCCTCATAATAGTTCCCTCCCCAATGACACACGATTGGGAAGCTTGAGAAATCCATATTCTAATAAAAATTCAATATATCCAAAAGTCAAGATTCACAAACAACTCACATTTCAATATGAAAATACCCAAATTTTGATATCTACATTCAAGTCTACATTTCAATACCCAAATTTAGCTACATTCAAATCCACCCAAATGCCCAAATGTCAAAATACACTTTAACATTCAAATCAATTTCAACATTTCATACATATCCACATTTCACAACAACTCAATTCACAATCAATTCATAATCTAAAAATTCGAAAATTTTAACATTCAAAACCCTAAGTTAAAAATGAGATGAAATGGAGTTTGATTTACCTATAACAAAGAAGAAAGAGTGTTTAAGATGAAGATGGAGGTTTGTCGGAGTGGGGTGGCCGGATATGGAGGTTCGCCGGAGTTGGAAATGGCTCGGTCGTCCTTCGTCCTTCGTCCTTCGTAGCTGCTGCTTGGGGGATTTGGGGATTGAGTTTCGTTTTGCAGTGTTCTGTTTTGTGGCTAGGTGCTGTTTTTACTTAACGGAAAGTCGCCCAACGGTTGGGCGACTTACCCCTGACCACGGTTAACACAGCAATATATTGGTAAATACTTTTAACCCAACCCTATTTTCGTAATTAATTAATTAATTATCATTAATTCGGAAAAAAAACTCAAACGGTTTATTGTCATGTTATAACATCGTAGTTGTTTCTGTTATAAATTATCTTGTTATACGTATGGAATTTATTTCATTAAAAAATGTCAATATGATACAACTTATACAAAAAAATCTTAAAAAAGTAAAATGAGGTTAAACATATTATTTCAATTAATTTCACTAAATTAGACAAAAAAAGTTTCTTTTATATTCACTAGCATTTTACTGTTGACTTATATTTGCCAAAAGTTGCACCTTGATGATGGTTTAATTTATACACAAATAATTTGTAACATACTTCGAGTCCTTTTAGTATCCTCTTTTTACGGCGTATTGGTTTAATAATTAATTTTTTACTAAACACTAAATTTTAAATTTATATGTTGAATTTTATAATAATCAAGACCGGTCTTGACACCATTGGGTAGCCTTTTTATGTGAATGGGCCTGTTAGATCTTACCTAGCAACTCAGTTCTCATTTTCCCCTACATACATATAAGCCCCATTGGGAGCTTTCTAAGGGCTGAAATTCATAATATACACTCACTTTATTCTCTAGCTCTCACCTCTCGGTCTCTAAAATAATATATACTCTCTTAGTCCAATTTAGTTGTCTTATTTTCGTTTTTGGGTCGTCCCAAATTGAATGTCACGTTTCCCCTTTTGACAAGAAATATGTGATCTTTTTCATTTCACTTTATTCCACTCAAATCGATCTCAACCACAACTTTTATTTTTCAACCACTTTATTAATAATTGTGCCAAATTAAAACAGGGCAACCAATATTGGGACGAAGGTAGTACATGAGTGGCTATTATCTATCAACACTATTTCAGTATTTTGATTTTTTTGGCTTTGACGATTGACCCATAAGGGGTGACTTTTTATTTTGATCAACACTTTTGACTAGTGACTTCACTTTCTTTGATTTTGATCATAATTCATGTTTCTGTCACACCTTTCATTTCGATCTTACCTATTTCCTTTTTCATTTTCATGTACATGTTGCTATAATTACTTCTGTAAAATATAAATAATTACCGTTCTTATCAAGATACTTACAACTTGCATATTACTACAACCACTAAGCAGCCATGATTGTTGATAGATGGCAGTTGATGGTTGCACATGTCTTGGAAAGAGGGAAAGTAGCCTTTGAGGCAATGGGTCAAAAAGTAAGAGAAATTATATGCCTCTGGTAGGCGAATTTGAATGAAAACAAGGAAGCATCACTATATTACTCCGCAATATAGATTGTTCATGGTGGAATTGGGAAGTCCCATAAAATTGATAGCAAATTATTGATTGTTAGGACTAGAATCGATTGGGTTGGGTTAAGATGGTGTCATTTTTGTAATTTAGCATTGGCCAATAGATTGTATTATATCTACATCATATGGTAAATTAGACATTTGAAAATAATTTTATTATTAACATTTAGTTGGGTTGTTGTAAACCGCAACTTTGTGGATGTAGCTTATAGAATCCCCCATTAGAAATTTAAGACACTAGCTTGTATAGGGGTTTTAAGTGTTAACAAATAGAGTCCAATTCAAAGTTCATATGAGCTATGCGTTTGATTTGATTCAAGATTAGTAGCATTTGGATTCGAATATGAAGCTTGGTGAGATTTGGACCTGAGGCTCGGGTTTGACTAGAGACATGTTCGACCTGGTGCTTGAAATCGAACAAGATACTCCAATATAACAGTTTAACAATATTGTAAAGGATAACTTTTATTTATCGAACTAAAGTATATTATCTGTACACTAAAACTTTACATAACTTGGAGAGCGGTGTATGATATAATTAATAACTTGGAGAAAATATTTAACTTGCTCAAAATGTGGTATTTGTTGTGAGAATAACTTTGTGTTTTTGTACAATATCATATATCTTCTATGATATATGACCTAGTGTACAATATCTTCTATGTAAACCTTAAACTAAAGAATTTTCATTTCTTCAAAATTCGCATTTATCAACGTTGGCATAACAATTTAGGATGGATGATATTATGTTTTTAAATAAAATTGTGGAAGTTAAACATTAAGTTGGCCTTCAATGGTTTCTAAAAGTAAGAGAAATTATATGCCTCTGGTAGGCGAATTTGAATGAAAACAAGGAAGCATCACTATATTACTCCGCAATATAGATTGTTCATGGTGGAATTGGGAAGTCCCATAAAATTGATAGCAAATTATTGATTGTTAGGACTAGAATCGATTGGGTTGGGTTAAGATGGTGTCATTTTTGTAATTTAGCATTGGCCAATAGATTGTATTATATCTACATCATATGGTAAATTAGACATTTGAAAATAATTTTATTATTAACATTTAGTTGGGTTGTTGTAAACCGCAACTTTGTGGATGTAGCTTATAGAATCCCCCATTAGAAATTTAAGACACTAGCTTGTATAGGGGTTTTAAGTGTTAACAAATAGAGTCCAATTCAAAGTTCATATGAGCTATGCGTTTGATTTGATTCAAGATTAGTAGCATTTGGATTCGAATATGAAGCTTGGTGAGATTTGGACCTGAGGCTCGGGTTTGACTAGAGACATGTTCGACCTGGTGCTTGAAATCGAACAAGATACTCCAATATAACAGTTTAACAATATTGTAAAGGATAACTTTTATTTATCGAACTAAAGTATATTATCTGTACACTAAAACTTTACATAACTTGGAGAGCGGTGTATGATATAATTAATAACTTGGAGAAAATATTTAACTTGCTCAAAATGTGGTATTTGTTGTGAGAATAACTTTGTGTTTTTGTACAATATCATATATCTTCTATGATATATGACCTAGTGTACAATATCTTCTATGTAAACCTTAAACTAAAGAATTTTCATTTCTTCAAAATTCGCATTTATCAACGTTGGCATAACAATTTAGGATGGATGATATTATGTTTTTAAATAAAATTGTGGAAGTTAAACATTAAGTTGGCCTTCAATGGTTTCTAAACGTGTTTATGGATTTGAAACTATTACAAAATACTCATAACATGCATGTATCTTTGAAATAAATTAAAAAGTATAAATGAGTCGTCCGGCGGAAAAGACTTTCTGAATGGGGAGCCAGGTTCCCCCCTTCTTTTTTCTTGGCACGAGATGCCCCGTTGTTCATACAAAGATAACAATTGATAAATTCATAATTTACCATTTTATACCACACTTAGGAACATACAACAATAGCGAATAGTTATTATTTCATAATGGTTCTTCCTTCCTATATTGTCACACCATTGTGTTTATTTCCACAACAACTATATCATGTTTAATGTGCTATGATTGTGCCATCCGATAATAGGAGAGAATATATAAAACATGTCAACACGCTCCATAAGGAGCATGTTGATAACTTGACTATGTAATATACATTAAGAGCCCGTTTGGTGACCCATTTTTTTCGGCTTATCATGCTTATCAGCCAATTTTTTCACCAAACACGCAAATTTTAATTTCGCGCGGTGAATTTGGTAATAAGCAGAAAAAGTAAAGTTGAAATTACTTTTCTGGCTTTATTGGCTGAAGTTACTGTAGAGGATCATTTTACCTATTTTTTCATATAATTTTTTATTTAATTTATTAATAACAAATATTTTAAATAGAATTTTTTCATGAATCAGCAGAATCAGCCAATACAACCACTTCAGTCAGAACTTCATAAATTTCAGCAGAATCAACCAATTCAGCCAATTTTAGTGTTACCAAACAGGCTCTAAGTTTATAATGATTTCATTATTACAAAATTAATGCATATCAAAATACTACCAATATTGACATGCTCACTATTTACTCCCAATAATAGTGGGTAGTTTTTATTTCAAAATATTTTCTGCCTTGTCACAAGTCACAACCCTTGTGTCCAAATTATTTTTTTTCTTTTAGAATATTTTTTATGGTGCTTAAGACTATAAGATTTCAAAAGTAAAACAAAGCAAAATTGTATAATCATGACTCATGAAGGTTTCAGCAAAGTAAAAATAAAATGCACATGATCCTTGGTCATCAAGATCAGTGTGAAGTAAGACTGTAGGAGCACTTGTTAAGTTTAATTAACTATTAAAATAGGTTCACCTTTAGAATACAAGCTTATATTACAAATAGAAAAATCGAGTTCAAGAATGAATCAAGATATTGAACTTGAACTCAAATGACATTTAGTCGAGAACACCTCTCACTCACTGTCATAAACTCGAAATAAAATGTCACCAATGTAGAGTACACAATGGTAGGTCATCTATCATTCTCCAGATATAAAACTGATTTTCAAAATTAGAAAAGAAGCCAAATTCATTAAAAGAGAATATAAAGCGAAACATCACCTTATAGTAAGTGTCACTTAGGGAACCAAAAATACAACTGTCACGGAAGAAATTTAAGGAAAGCCACATTTATCGATCTCATTTCCATACACTACTAAAGTATGTACATGTTCAAACGAAGCAAGTCTCATTTTGACAACATGAAAAGCTACATACCTAGCCATATCTTATAATCAGATATGAAAGGGTGGGAAAATCTGTGAGCAGTTAATGCACAAGTGTGTTTCTTCTCCTACTGCTGAAGTCCTAATCATCAGGATGTGAGGAAATTTATGAGCAGTTAATGCACAGAAGTCTGCTTCTTCAACTACCGCTGATGTCTTGAAGAGAATCTATCGTAAGTACTGCCCCTAGGGTCTGAAGGGCCACCACTACCACCATCCCTTGGACTTGGGGCACTAAAATGGGAGTCCCAATCTCCGTGTCTTTTAGATAGGGAAGGACTCATAACAGGGTCAAGTCCACATCCAGGTGGTCCATCATCTTCTAAACCGGCAGGCAGCACCTGTCGTTCACCATGATTCCTTCTATTGATAGTTTCTGATCTATGGTTGTGCCTTTCATGTTCAAATTCTCTTGAAAGCTGCCGTTCAACAAAATGCACACGGTTGGAAATGTGTGATGTATGGTTATTATTGGCATGCCTACTACTACTACTACTACTATTGTTGTACGAGGAAATTCTTGAGTTGGGTTTAAAACTTGATGATGACCCTCCTGCTGCAGCCACCCAAAGCCAGTTATCTGCGTCCTTCGGTATTGGAGCATTTACCCCTGGAAATTCAACACTCATTTTCTTTGTCGGTGGGTCAGGATGAGTCTTGTCGGGAATTTCTCCTTCCTCTGTTTCCTCCACAACCAACTCCTCGTCTGCAAATATTGTGATCCCTGAGGGCATATCCTCACCATCCGCATCTACAGCATATCGGCAAATTGTGACGCATATGTAAATAAATTAGATGAGATAAATACATTTTCACCCATACCATAGTTGTTACGGCAGGGTTTCGCGGCGCGGCACCTCCGGACTGCCATACCACCATGGTGATATGGCGGCGGCCGTCGTGGCGGCATCGCGGTGATAAGTCAACATAGGTACACTAATAAATTCATAATATGTTTTATATACTAAAATGCCTACATGTAACACTTATAGCCAATACTACTAATGAAGTAGTAAAACATGTAATCATAGAAATTACATAATCCATAAGACTAACCATAGGTTTGTAGTTCATCAAAAAAATCACAAACATTATCCATAATCCAACAAAATAAAGAAATACAAAACAATAAAATATTAAATAGAAATAATATAAAGCAATTAATTATTACAGGCTACTGGACAATGAAAAAAGAAATACAAAAAGTAGGCAGTAGATAGTAGAGGATAATTCGGGAGCAAAAAAACAAGTCTAAAGTCAACCGATGTCTATCCCAAAACTGAAGCGAAATAAATACGTGATGCCTATTTGCAAAATACCGAAGCAAATACTCCAAAAATGCGACGACCTATGGAAATACCTGGCGGAAGAAGATGCTCGAGTCTAGATGTGGACAACGACGATCAACGGCACACCTGACGACTCGAGTATGCGTTTGGGATGGCGATGGATTTGGAAGTTTGGAGTCACCAGATTTGCCAGATAGGTTAACTGGCCTTTTTATTTTATTTTGATGGGTTATTGCTAATCACTTATCAAATTACTGGGTTTGGGTTTGGGCCTTTTGACTTGTGGCGTGTTGAGCTTCTATGGCGACCTGCCCAGAGCGCCACGACGCCAAGGCGACCCCAAGGCGACATCATAACAACTATGACCCATACTATGGGTTACTAAAAGGTTGTAAGACAAAAACAAAAAACAGTCAGTAGATAACTAGCTTTCATAATGATAGAGGGCGCGGGGAAGAGATTATGCTTTCTTTTCATTGTAGATCAGGTTCAGAATATAACGGTGACATGAGAAAAAAGGCACAAACAGTGCTGCATATTTACTCATGAAAACAAAAAAAAGGCAGAAACATAGTGAATTGAATGTGACAAAGATACAACACTCCCTCTAGAAGTCCAAAAAACTTGCTGGTGCTGAAAATACTTTGAATTCAATTTTGTAAAATTTTTATTCAGTATAAGCACACAAAACTTGCATACTGAAAAACATCAGAAGTCTCAAAAGATGGGCAATTAATCATTGGTATGTGTGCCACTCCTTGTACCATTGTTAGTGGGACGGAGGGAGTATTAAATAAAAAACTAGAAAATGAAGATGAAATTTGACCAATACATAGTAACTATAACAAGTAAAATGGAACATAAGGAGTATCATTTACCTAGGTAGCCCGGTGGATAACCCATCTCCCGCATCCTGTTAAGCCATGGAGGTGGATCAAGTTCCTGTACCCAAAAAAATCAAAATGGCAGTACTGAAGGAGAAGGATAAAACAACAAAAAGTGGGGTTACCCATTACGGGTCTGTTTGGATAGAGGCTTTTTGGGGGGGGCCTATATCTTGATATATACTTCGTATGTAGTATCCCATATTTGAAAACTATTAAAAGATTAACAGGCTAGGTGATCTCATAGCATTTCAATAACTTTTTATTCATTCGTAGAGAAAATATTATGGGGTTAAGGCTTGGATGTTCTCATTGTTGTTGTAGAGAAAATCAACATGCTATGTTACCTTATCACATTTCTCAGGTACGGTGGTTCGGCCATGTGTGTAGGAGATTGAGTGATGCATTTCCTAGATGGATTGAGAGGTGGGGAGAGGAGGAAGACAAGAGAGGGAGGGGATGAGTGATGACCTATATAGATGTGGATTAGAGTTGTTAAGAATGCTATGATACTACTTGGAATAGACGAGAGTATAACTTTGAAGAGAGCAAAATGAAGGGAGAGCATAAGCCTGGGGATTGATCCTATATGGTTTGTCTCCCCTCTATTTATTGTTTCTTTACCTCCAGTATTATATGTCGATTCATGTTAGCCGACCCCATTTTTTTTTTGGGAATAAGGCATATATACCAACTATTAAAAGAGGCCGATGAAACAGAAATTATGTGGTGTTAAGCTTTTAGGGGTCTGTTTGGGCAAATGTTCTGGAGGGGGTGGGGGTTGATATATCTTGATATACAGAGTAATAGATATTTCACTAAAATGAAAGATTAACATATTATGTGATATTGCCAAGTACCTTGTGGTCCTAATCTCCCAAAGATGAGGTCACAGGTTCGAAACTCATCAAAATCAAGGATGTTGGCATTATATTATAATATATTATATTATAATAGTTTTAGAAGGATATTCCAAAAAAGATATTATGTGATATTATAGCATTTTAATCGCTTTGTATTCATTTGTAGACTGTCAAAGCCTCCCTCGAAAACCCTCCATCCAAACAGGCCCTTAGGAAACTGTAGTTAATAAGTGGCATAATGCTTGCCCATTGACTACTACGTCATAGTTTCAAGCAGAACAACTCAATTAAACTAATCATAATCTCACCTTGAGTCCCAAAAGTCTTCGTGTTTCAAAATCAAGAACCCCTGGTCTTAACCCATCATACTTCCCCTTTGGTGAACTTTGATAATAGCGAGTGGGATTACGAGAACTGGCATTTTGATTTCGCCTTGCATTGTGTTGCTTCCGAGCATTATTGACAGCAGCAACATCACGAGGCTTTGAACACTCCTTCAATGAGTGACCATAGGAGCCACAGTTGAAACAACGAGGGGCATCAACCCCCAATCCTCTGCGACCAGAAAATAACATTTCAAATCATTTCATGAATCATCTTATAAGTTCAGTATTCTGAACTTTAGGGAGCTCAAACATATGCTTCAGACATACAAAAGGCTCAGACTCAGGGTTGGTTTGGAACCTGGAAAATACTAGGGAAATAAAATAGTAAGAAAAGGATATAGCAAAAATGGAAGGAAAGATATCAAACCAAACACCTTGATGAAATAGGTTGTACAAAGGTCTTTGGAGTGAATGTGTGATCATAGAACTAGGGCACCAGTAGGCTAATAAATGTGGGGGTGTAAGATGAGAGTGATAGAAGGAAAGGTCACTGCTAAAAAGATAGGAAACCATGAATCATAGTAGTAAGAGCCAAGACCATCAATGCATAAAATCACCAAAAGTCATAATTTTTCCAACAAAATAGCAACAATCAAGTGAACAGTAATCAATTTAGGTGTGTCTCATTAAAACACAATATAGAGTTATTTACCCTTCAAACTTGTTTGGGCTGTCTGATGAGGTAAGAGCGAATGTGTATGTGCGGTCATAAAGAGGTATAGAGCTGTTATCTAATGAGGTATACTCCTTGGACAATTTGTTCCCTTGTAGGTCATCCATCCAAAAAGGCTAAAAATTTACAGTATAAGTCATTAGTAGTTGGCTAAAATTTCTCCTCCCTTTGACAAGCACATTGTTAAGAAAGTGGAATAAAAAAGAGAGGAAAGAGAAAATTTAGAAAAAGTAAACATATAAAGTGAAAGTAATTAAAGGGAGATAAGTTGGGGTTGAATAAATTGTGAGACTTAATGAGTAGGAAAGAGAAATTTGAGTAAAGGTGTTATTAAATAGAGTAAATTATTTCCTAAAATGGAATGGGAACCTTTAAATGGGACACCCAGATAAGGAAAGTAGGAACCTTTCAGTGGGACGGAGGGAGTAATTTTTATGTAATTTGTAATAAAATACACAAACAAATTTTGTATAAAATAGTATTTAAAACAAAAAATTTAAACTTTTGACAAGACGAATGATTTATAAAAATTCTGATCTTAAAAAATTATATAGTTATAGCTTCTCCAAACAATACTTCAATTTTCCATGGTAGGAGTGTTAGATAACATATGTTTAGGCACCTATTTCTTTATAATGGAAATTGAGATTTGAGATATTAAAATGCATGAATAGCAAAACATACCACTGCACAACGCTTCTCCGACCCAACAAGGAGAGCAGGGAAGTAAGTCTCTTTACCACATTCAAAACCTTTCGTGGAATCCTGGGATGACAAGAAAGTTCATTTTATTTTAAAGAATAAATCATAATGAAGCTTTGGTTGCCAAACATTATGGAGAAACGCAAGTCATGAATGTACAACTAAGCACAAAACAAACATTAAATAGAATAATACATGACAGGTTTTAATTTTTCAAGATCTCAGTTTTTTAGTATCTAGAATTTTGGAAAATTGTCTTCATGGGGGTGAATGCTGACATATTTATTTAAATAATGTTAACTGCTGAAGATATATTAAATTCACCATTGATGAAGAACAATGCACAGCATGCCATTGTGACCACTGCTGTAATAAATCCTCAAGCTTCTGTTTACTCTCTCTGAAAAAGGATACCTGATTCTTAGTTCTGAAGCAATGACTAGTTCAAACTAACTTACAAAATATTTGCCTTCTATAAGAAGATTATAAAGCAACAGAAAAGGAGTCATGGATGACATAACCATGGAAAAACGTTGAGTGCTATTGTTCAAACCTTGTAAGAGCATTATAAACCACGTGTACCGATGGTTGTTCTTCGTCAAGAGTTACTCGAGGTCTCTTGACACCACGTAATACTGGGTTTACATTTAAAAAAGAGAAATTAGGAAAATAAATACACATGATAAAGCAAAGAGATGTGGTGATGTTAAACAGAGTTTCAAACTTTTAATAGCATTGCTGCAAGGATGCAAGCATCCATTCACACATTCTAGAGCTACAAACAGAGACACATCAATACTGATGGATTGAAAAATTGTGAGTCGCATTCAACCAAACATTTTTCCAAACACACCCTAACTCTGCAAAGTCATTTGGCCTTCCAAGGCATACGGCCATAAAAAATGTACAACTATGTGATCAAAATAACACACCCCCAAACAAGATATACTTGTGTTAAATAATGTATTTGCTTAGGAAAGAGTAAGATTTTTAGCAAATGAAGATAATATTTCATTGAAATTATTTTAATTCCTCTAAAAAAAGGGTACTGAAAATGTTAAGAATGATAAAATTAGTTAAACAAACAAATTAACAAAAAAATATTAGTATAAGTAAGATTGAAAAGGTTGAACCTTTGAAGAGTGACTCTTTCTTGGGATGGAACTTGGAAGTAGTAGTACGTATTAAGTAGTTAAAATTATGGAGTAAAGCAACAGATTTTCTTACCACTTGGAACAGTCTCGGATCTCCGGACAGGAATCTGCCCTTCCATGTGGCTAGTAACATTGCATTCATCTCCAATAGCTACAAAACCGTCTTCTATGCACATCTCAGAGCCAGTGGATGCCACCTTCCGAGTTACCTCAAATGCTTCAGTTAATTCAACACTGGCTTGAAATGTGGAGTTATTTATCCCCAAATCTATGCCATTATCCATTGCCTGCAAATCCTGGGCTCCTACACTTTCAACTTCGCCCTTGATTTCAAGAGTTTCATCTTTCGCAGTATCTTCAACAGATCCGTGACGCTCAATCATTTCAGATTCGAATCCAGAAATACCACAATCAGGTAGGTTGATAACCTCCTCATCTTCCATGCTAGAGAATGCTTCTCTGAGTGTACCAATTGGGCAAGGAAATGAATCTGCAAGGCATCACAAGAAGATATCGACTTACTTCCAAGTCATGGTTTAGGCATGGAAAATGTAAAGTAATAGGGGGGCAAAAAAGAGTGAGTGAAGCCGTGTGACTCAAGATCCAGATGTCGACACCCAATAAAAATTCCCATGCATTATTAATTCCAAAGAAAGTTCAACTTAAACAGCAAGACCAAGACTTAAGAACGCAGGGTCATAATAGGGGTCATTCCATTTACGTAGAACTAATATTATTGATCAATTTTTAACTGATGAATACTCGCGAAGCCGCGAAGGGGTAGGAAGAGCATGCGCTAGCCAGATTTGAAGATGCGTAGCTACGGTAGTGGAAATGAGAATGAGAAGAGGAAGAACTCGAATTAGGGTTTAAAAATACCTGGAAAAATGGCAAAATCTGAGATTGGGGGAAGCAGGCGGAGTGATGTTCCGTCGTAGGAATACAGTCGGTAATAATTTTGGAATTCGGAGGGACGGATGGATACTACTACGCACGGCAATCCACGTCCATTTGCTTTTTTTTGATAATCATTTCGAAGGCACTTCAGGGGTAATATTATCCTCGAAAGCCCCTAAACATTTAAATTTGTATCTTATCACAGTCAATTTCATCATTGAGATTAACCGTTGTGAAACTCCCTCCTCTCTCTTTGTAAGAATTGAATCAACTACCTCCCACAAAGGAGAGATTTGAGGGTGATGTTCATTCATTGGACTACACCCACCAACCCAACCCACGTCCATTTGATTCATTGCGACTTGCGAGTACTCCAAGAGTAAGGATGGCTATGGGGGCGGGCCCCACGGAGAATCGCCCGTGGGTAGAGGATGGGGTTTGAGGCAAGGTGGGGACGGGAATGGATGAGACATTTATATCCCGCAAAAATATGAGGCGGGGATGGGGATTGCTACACCTGCCCCGTCCCGCCCCGTCCCCGTTATAAATATAAATTCAAACATACACACACATATATACAAATATACATACATATATAAATAACATATAAGCATATTTAAGTAAATTATGGAGTATGTAGTACTGTGTATATAACAAACACATACATACACATATAGACATATGAAAAATGCTAGAAGCACAAACACACTTACAAAAAAACTTATAAACAAATGATGTGGCTATTCTAATTATCATTGATGTAAAAGTGTTGTAAATGTGATGTGATGTGTTAAATAATGTGATGATGCCACATACCCTTTTTGTAAGACTTTTTGTAAAAGTTTTTGTACCTCTAGCATAACTCTAGACATATATAAATGTACTATGTATATATGTGAATTAGTCATGATTAATTAATTAATACACATTATATCGAAATAATAATGCGTCATAACTAAAAATACTTATCATAAATGGTATATGAGTTTTAAAAGTGAGTAAATAGAACACATATGCATATATATGTATAATATATAATCGGTTATATTATAATTGATGAGAAATTTGTAACAACATACATGATGATAATATGTTTACTTATATTTTTGCTTTTATTATCTTCACAGAACTTATTCAAATTAAAGATTTATTAAAAATTGGCAGTAAACTTTTATCAAACACAATATTATCTGGTTTACCTTTTTTAGTGCTATATATTTATATTTATCTATAAAATGGGTTAAAAATATGCAAATAAGTTCAATAAAATCTATATGGGGCATCCGTGGACACCCGTGGGGGACAACGAGTGGGGCGGGGAAGGGAGTAGACCTGACCCAATTAAAAATTAAAAAATAAAAGGCCAACATAAAACATTACTAACTTTGTTTTTGAAAGGACATAAAACATTACTAATAAAACCTGAAATAGGAAAGACCAAGACTATTTTCTATTAAAGCTTTACGAACAGTACCAAAGAGTCATCACATTTCCATGTCCAAAGAGTATAATACTTTAAGCATTACAAATGTCCACATATTCTACTATTCTCTCAAATGGTTACCTATTCATCGGTAATTAATGTTAAAATCTCAGCATCAGAGAAAATCTCAATAAAGACGGAGACTACTGGCTCTGAAAGACTTCATCTCGACTTTAAGGTTTTTTAAAATATCTCGATATTAAGGTTTATGAAAATGAGTTTGATATCAAATGTTTGTACACATATGCTAAACATTACACATTTTGTTCACCCTCCTTTGAGAGGATGATGTTCACCCCCACCCTATTTGCGTGCCATGTGGCAAGGTAATACATTACAATTTAGCAATTGTTTTATCTTTTATTTTTAATCCAATTTTTTAAAAAAATGTATCAAAATTTTACATTTTTTACGATCTTTCACATGGTACTAATATTGCATACGGAAAAAAATCATCTAAAAATAGATATTTAGAAAAAATGATTTTTTTCAATTTTTATATATACAATGATGATACCATTGGAAAGATTATAAAAAATTAATAAATATGATATATTTTCTACAAAAATTATATAAAAAGTTAATAGTGTAATATATACTCCATCTTTATATAAAAAGTTATATTGGTAGCATGATCATATAATTGTTCACAAATGTAACTAAATAGTGTTCAATACATAGTTTAAAATACACAAAGTATTTATGAGGATGCAATTAAAATTATATTGAACCAAATGTAATATTCTTTATTTTACAAATGAATTTTTAGATTGTTAACCGCATCCAAACAAAGCTTAGAGTATTTTAAATCATGTACTTATTGCAATAAATTTATATTTTCAAAAAACATATAATCATGGTGAAAAAATGATATTTTATATGCAATTTGGGTTATATATATTGCTTATGCAAATTTGGGATATTTTCTCACACTTATTCAAAGCTTGAGATAGTTATTGGGGGTGTTTGGCAATTGGCCATTAGCTGTTGGCTGTTGGCGGATTGTGTTGGCTGATTCATAACAGCATGTTCTGTTGGCTGTTTTGATTAGCCGGTAGTATTAGTAGTTCGTAAAATGATGTTTGGTTAAATGGATGTTTACGACCAACAGATAACTTGTTAAATGACTATTAAGGACATCAATTAATTTTTAGCTTCAATTATTATTGTTAATAATAATAATAGTAATAATAATTGTTGGGTTAATGGCCCGATAAGGGCCGGCCCATCAACCCCTAAAGGGCTTCCCACGAACGTCCTTTCCAGGGCCCAAGAAGAGGGCCGGGTACCAAGGGCCAGAGGACGTACGTATCCCATGGCCAGTGGGTAAATGGACTCAAGGATCAGGAGACGCACGTAGCCCATGGTTGGCCCGTATCCAAGCCCAAGGGCCACGGGACGAACGTGGTCTACTATCAGCAGGTAACCAGGCCCACGGGCCCTGCGGGGCTCATAGGGACGAACGTCCCCGGTCTACGACGAGGTATCGAGGGCGGCTCAAGAATGGGCCAAGAATGATCCAAGTACACGGGGACGAACGTCCCCTCTGACTTTGCTGAGAGGCCAGGGTCCCAGCAGGAGAGAGTAGTTAAAGCCCTGGGGCCGAACATCCTTGGCCAAATCATGGAGGCATACGTGGATGATATCCTTATTAAGAGCAAAAGGAAGGAGAACCACGTCCGGGACATGGAGAGGGTCTTCACTATCATGGAGGGGGCAAACATGAGGTTAAACCCAAAGAAGTGCGCCTTTGCCATCAGGGGGGAAATTCCTCGGCTACATGATGAGTGAGTGGAAAATTCCTCGGCTACATGATGGCCGGAGCAGCTGAATTATATCTTATGGACGTACAGGACAATTGTGAGGACAGCGACCGGAGAAACTCTGTTTTCCCTGACATACGGTTTCCAAGCAAAGGTCCCCACCGAGGTCCTCGTGCCCACTGTGACGACTCTCCTGAATGCCGCGACATAGAGGAGTAATACACGCGGCATGGCACTTCAATAGGCCGCGGCATAATCGTGACCAAGAGGCAATCTGGAGTCTAGCAGATCCCAAGAGAGAGGGGCAGAATTCTGGAGGCTAAGAGAACATTCTAGACTCGTGTAGATACTTGTATACTTGTATAGAGTAGAGTAGAATACTCTAGAACATGATAGAGTTGTATAGAATACTTTAGAATTAAATTGTAGCCGTTAGATCAAGTAAATCTAAGCCGTCCATTGAGGAGGAGGACAAGTATAAATACCCCTCATGACTGGCTCATTTGTATCATTGAACACTTGAGAGCGATAAAGCATTTGTACGAGTTTCTCCACAATCGGTGTCCTAGTTTCCGCAAGAGTTAGGCTGACTAGCATAAGTTTGAGTGAGTGTGCTAGTGCCGCACGGGTTAGAGAATAAGTCCGTGACAGTTGGTATCAGAGACAGGTTGGTTTCGTGTCTCTAAGGAGAGAGATGGTCGGTTCAGATAGTGAGACAACTAACATGGATGCTGGGAAGCAAACCAAGAGGGGAAGGTCCAAGTCTCGAGAAGCCATGACGGAGGTGGAGACTCGGCTAGCCAAGGTGGAGCTTGCCATAGCCGATGGGGAAGAAAGGTTTGAGGAAGTCGACCAACGCATCGTGGAGCTTGCGAAGAATGGGGAAGATCTTCGAGGTGAGGTGCAAGGAGCGGTCAATGAGATCCTCGACCGGTGTCTTTCCGAGGTCAAGGGCTTGGAGGGGACTTTGATGACCATGGTTGCTTCACTGCGGGAGGAGTTGGAGAAGGTCACCAAGGAGTTGGTGGAAACCAAGGAAGAGCTGGTCCTATGCAAGAAGGCGGTCGTGCAAGGAGGAAGCATATCGTCTAGTGAGGTAAGTCCTACTCCCTCTAAGGTTGATGTTCCTAGACCTAAGACGTACAAAGGGGCTAGGAACGCCAAGGAGATAGAGAACTTTGTGTGGAGTATGGAGCAATACTTCAAGGCTCTTGGTATCGGGGACGATGCCAAGAAGATCGACACGACAACCATGTATTTGGATGATACCGCGATGTTGTGGTGGAGAAGGAAGTATGGAGACCGGGAGAAGGGTGTTTGCACTATTAAAACATGGGAGGAGTTCAAGGGCGAACTCAAGAAGCAGTTTTGCCCTGTGAATGCGGAAGAGGAGGCGAGAGCTAAGCTAAGGTGACTCCAACACAAGGGAAGCTTGTGTGAATACGTGAAAGAATTTACTGAGGTACTCCTAGATATCCCTGACTATCCTGATAAGGAAGCTTTCTTTGCCTTTACGGATGGGTTGCAAGGTTGGGCTAAGATCGAGATCCAAAGGCGTGGGGCTCAAGATCTCGACACTGCTATTGCCATTGCCTAGTCCTTGGTGGAGTTCAAGAAGCCGGAGAAGGTGAAGCCACCGACTAAGGAGAAGGGAAAGGAAAAGAGTGGGGGAGACCACCGTCCGCACAAAGAGGGTTTCCAACACTTTGAGAAGAGCAAGGAGGCAAAGGAGGCCAAGGCATGGGAGAAGAGACCATTGAAGTGCTTCTTTTGTGATGGGCCGCACAAGGCGAAGGACTGCCCAAAGAAGGCCAAGCTCTCGGTCTTAGTTGAAGAAAGAGAGGAACGAGAATGGGAGGATGCTATGGTCGGATCCCTTCGCATTCTCAATGCCATCAAGGCCAAGGTAACCGAGACCAAGACAGAGAACAAGGGGCGTTTGTTCGTGGAAGCTAAGGT